AACTTTTTTTTCACACAAGAATATTTCAGCATTAAAAATAAAATGTGAAAAGGATATTCTGATAACCTTACTTAGATGTCCAACGTCAGATCATACTGCATTTTAAAAGTCCATTTAAATTGTCAAATTAGAAATTGTAATGTCGGATTTAACATCTGTGATCATTAGGTGAAATTTCTGAACTGCCTTTTTATTTTATAACCCTGCCATGATTTCACACATATGAAAATACAGTGTAATTGTAGGTACATCTTAATGAATTATAAGTATACTATACATGATGAAGCAAAGAAGAATTTCAATTTATATTAAACTCCTAATCAATTTCTAGTTTATTATCTTTAAAAAAATTGAGGACAGTTGTGTAGGGGAAGAAGTTCAAAACAACCAAAAATAACTTTAAATTCTGAGAAAAAAATCTTAAAATTTCAAACTATAAAATGGAATTTCAGACAGTCCTCAGTAAAATGCAATTGTCGAACAGATATGACGGGGTTTATGATAAAAACGCAGCAAGCGGAAATTTAGTGAACCTTATTTAAGACGTAGAATAGCATAACAATGTAAGACAGATGGGAGAAATAGTCTGATTAGATTACTGTAGTCGTCTGTTAGAACGACTGTCGCAAAATGACACCAAAACCTATATCCATTTAAAATTCCATGTTATCTAGTTCCCGCTTTTCATTGAACGGCACCTCGAATGTGTTGCATTGAAAGTTCCATGATTACCGCCGTATTTTGTACACATCTGTGGGTGTTGATTAAAATTTCTACATTATTATGTTTAAGTGATGAATTCTGTTGAAACCGGCGCAAGGGAGCACATGTACCTACCAGAACCGTCTTTGGCACCCATGTGTATTTATGTTTCGGTTTTGCAGTTTCAGGCGTTTTTTTGGTGTTTTTTTTGGAGGGCGGATATGTGGATAAGTTTTTTCTGTTTTCTTTACATTTCTTTGCTTGCTTGTCGAACCTTGTATTGACAATCATTATCTGTTTGTTATGGTTCGGTTCGGTATACAAGTATAAAATATGATAAACAAGATGAACAAGGAAAGGCCGCGTTCAATGAACGCAACCCCCGCACGACCCAGGAACAAGAACCATTTGCAAGGAACCCAGGAGGATCCTAAACAAAAACAGGACGGCGCAAGAGAGAGCACGGTCTGGCTTATCACTAAAATGATAAATATAAAGAAATAATGGTAACATACAAGGAAATCAAAATCAAAGAAAATAAATAAATGAATGATTAATAGGACCATTAAGTAAACTGGCACAGTGGTAGGGGATAGGAAATTCGGGGAAGGGGGAGGGGGCGGAATAAAGAAATAAAACTAGTTGCAAAGGGAAGATACTTACCATAGACGAGAAAACAACAAGGGACACAAACAAAAGTGTCACCATAACAGTATGAAACAACAAGACATACACCTTATACATGTATAAGTCTCTTAATCTGTTCATTTGAAAATTCTCATCTTCTCAATGACTTTTTTTTAATATCCTCTACTTAAAATTTATTTCAATTAAAATATGTGACCCTTCCTTTATAGTTACACAGCATATGGCTGGATCACAATAAAGTTCCTTTTTTAGTAAATTAATAAAGTATGTCAAGAAGACATGGGTTACACCCTTGGGATTTTTCAGAGACACTTTCAGTGTTTCCCACCTACATAGAGGTGTACTGGTAAGAAATCCAGGAAATCCTCGCATGTAACAGTGCTATACACTGGGCATGTAAAAGAACCAAGGGGTCTTTTCAATAAGAGCTAGGGACTGGTTCCCGGATTCCCTTGTATCTTAAAGCTGTTTCTTAAATGTATACAATGTATACCTGCCTGTAACACTCGTAAGAGGGGTTGGCAGTATCCAGAGATAGATAGATAGATAGATAGATAGATAGATAGATAGACATTTAACTTTATCAGTAGGTTTAATATGGTATTATAATATATATCAGCAATAGGTGAAAAAGAATTCCTTTATTTCTTTTACATTCTTAATTGTCATTTAAATATGCATGTATAAATGAAGTCAGTATTTTATCGGCAGTCATTAGCAGTAAACAAGAAGGCAAACCATCTATTGATAAATGTTGAGTACATGTATTAAAACATTTAAAAAATATTAAACAACAGTACTTGTACGGAGCCTATTTGCTACCATTGTATTTTAGGTTTAACACATTGATACTTTTCAATAGTATTTAATAATGCACAAATTTATTTAAAAATAATGAATAGATTTATTTCCCCGATATTTTTTTTTAAGTTTAATCTTCATGAGTAACCCACACTTACCTGCTAGACACACTGGTTGCTACTACCAGCTTTCACGGAATCGATTTTTTACGATGACGTCATAACATGTCCGCCGCAGATAGTGTATACAGTACAAATTTGAAATAAATCGCACGTATGCGTTAAGACAGGTACAATCTAATATTTTTTGTAGGAGAAGTTAGTACTAGAATTTATATTCTATTGATTTTTAGAGGACATTGAAGTTACTTTCAGGTTTAAGCAGTAAAAATCAGTCCAAACTATCGATAGTGTTGCCGGTAGATTTTCCGTGCGTAAAAATGACAGTTAAAATTAGGCGTAACGGTTTGACAGTAAGAAAAAAAAAGTCTGTAAAATGGGTCAAACCGTTCACGCCAAATTAATTAGGCTAATTTAGGTGGTGCTATGTGTGCGAGGGCCTTCAGTCAAATTTATTCAATTCAAATTAGATGATAAAAAAATGATATATGCCTGCTTTTATTTTCTCATACTAGAGAAACGGCACAATATCGCCTAAAATAATAGTTCGCAGAGTCTCTTCCAGTTGTTTATTTGACCCATTTTTACTAAAGGAAGTGTAGGAAAATATTTAGTGTTGTGAAATCTTTCTATAATTTAGTAGTGTTCGTTTACAGTACGCATCAGACTGGTTCCCTGCGCATTTCTTGGATGGGAACCATAATAGGATAGGGAACCAGATTACAGTACGCATGCGCTGTCAAATTGGATAAAATAATAATGGCGGAAAATAGCCCAGGATAATATTTGCTCAAAATTTAAAGAAATCGCGGTAAGTACCTTGAAAAACTAGTAACTAATAAGCACTTACAAACTTGCTTGCATGATTTCAGTCGGCCATATTCCCTAGCCATGTAAGATAACTCCCTGTTTCCCTGTCTAAAATTCCACCAAATTATTCCCCTTTCAAATGAACTCAAAGAAGGGACATGTTAAAAAGACTTTGTATTTATTTATTCGATTTTTTGTTAAGAAAGGGACAATTTTTTCTTTACCTTTGTTTAATTTGCTTTCTATCTATATATGGTTCCTATGGTAAACATATCAGTTTTGATGGTAAACAAATGAATTTTCTGAACCGAAAGTAATCTAACACACAGCGTTGCTGTCATCACATGTAAACAATACATTAAATCGGTAAGAATATTGAGATATTTGTTTGACTATCAATTTCAAATGCAAAATATTAATATAGAAAACAACTATGTGTAGTTTCTGTGTATTGTTTTAATGTGTTTGTCTCATATTTTAGTTGTAAAAGCCATGTACACTTAGTGTCGCTTCATAGCAACCGAGTTTAAAACACGAGCGGTAACTGAACGAGATATGGCAAAGCCCATGCTCGCGCACTGACTTCCGCTCTATCGAAATACTGCATATACGTATAGCGAAAGTTCGTAAGTGATAAGTAAATTAATTTTGGAAACAAGACGACTCACCCCCCAGACGATTCACCGCCCAAAAAACCAAGACAACTCACCCCTCAAGACAGTTCACCCCCCGAAATAGATAAGACAATTCACCCCTCATGTTTATTGTTACAAAAATCAAAAAGTCTGTATATTTATTAATTTACAACAAAAAATTTATTATTCTATTAAAGGGGTTGAAAAGAAGAAGAAAACAAGCAAGTCAAGTTTCAAAATTTGATATATATTAATTTGTTATGTTATATTATTTTATTCAATCACATCAAATAGCACATAGTTTATATTGAGGGAAATGCCCATAATGTATGCACTTTTTATAAACATATTATCTATCATTTATTTAATAGTCTTGATATTTTTATTGTCTATATAATGCAAACATATACAACTGTCTGCAGGAATAATTTAATTATCCATTATCTTAAAGTGCTGAAAAGCATATTGTTTATTCTACATCCACTCTTTCATCAGAAGCACTTAACACCTTCCTTTATAATCAATTAAGGATGAAAAAAAAAGTGTTAAGGGATAAAGGGCTATTAAAAGTATACAAACATCCACTCGAAATGTCATATTTCACAAGACAGCATGTCTTGAATAGCTTCTCAAAAAAATTTAATTGGCCGCGTGTGCACAAAATTTATTTGTAGATGATGTGTCGTAAGCATCCAATGAGTTGTTAGAATGAAAGAGATTTAAGAGCAAATGATTATCACATGTTAATATCTTTGATATGTCATCTTATAATAACATCAATAGCACTTAAACAAATTAAGACAAATTTATGGTGAATTTGTAATTTTTACAGTTTGTATGTAAAATAATATGTAAAAATATTAACGCATAGTAACAAATATTATTTTTAAGTAATAAATTATAATAATTAATTTAAATATGACTAAATATTTTATAAATATTAATTGTGTAAAGAAACACAACAAATTTGTTTATTGCATCTTCTAATTTTAAGATAAATTTCATCAAAATTAAAATTAAAGAAATGTGGGGTGAATTGTCTGTGTCATTTTTCCAATAATGTGGGGTGAACTGTCTGGTGGGTGAATTGTCTGGAAAAAATGGCTTAGGGTGAATTGTCTGGGGGGTGAGTTGTCTGTAAGCCTTAATTTTTACTTAAATGAAATGTTAACATTGTAACTTGGTTGAAATTAAAAGGTTGTAATAACCAAGAAATTGGGTTCTACTCTTATCTCCGCGGCGTCTAAATATGGATCAAAGATGTCTTTCCAAACAAATAACTGTGCACAGTTCTAATGTATTTATTTATCTTCTAGTTCTGACACATACATGTATATCAATCTTACATATCCAAATATCGACAAAATCAATCGTCAATGAATCGTCAATAAACCTTCAATAAATCTCAATCAATCGAATTGATCAACACTCTGAAAGTAAACAAATTATATCAACATAAAAATAAAGTAAAATCCAGTTCCTATATCTGAAAAGCATAATTATCAATTATAAAAACATCCTTATTTAGTTGATCAATTACAAATAGATATTTGCAACACATTACACATATCACTCATCTATAGGTACGTACATTAACATATAATATAGTTATATGCTTTCTATTGGCTGCCATTAACATAAATAGTCCATTTAATGAAATAATCATAAAATACATAACAATCATAGAGAATATCCAAACTTACCAGTTTGTGGAACTGAATGTACAATTATATCATATTACATCATCTTCTCCAAAACACACATACAACCAAACTCTCTGTGCTGTAATTTCTGCAAATTATAATAAACAAAATGTGCAAAGTGATGGGAATGAAATGTGATATTAAGTTAATAGAAAGATAGATTTACTGCTTTTTCTGAAACAATTCTCAAACCACGAAAACTAATGATATTTCAAATAAGACCACAATCATTAATTAATTAAAAAACAAATCGATGACATACACTCTTTAAAACACTGATAATAACCAAATACAACTCAAAATCATACTGACCAACTATCAATAATCCAAATTTTAAATAAATTTAAAACACTAAGAAAATGTCTGAACTTAAATTTTACAAAGCCGCTTCAACAAAGACAAAACTAGTCACATGATCAAAATTGCGGGAAACCAAGGGAAACAACTCAAACAACCAAAAATGTATCAAGACACTCAAATTATCCATCCTGTTACACACTTCCCCACCTTAGAAAATGACGTCCCGTCATTATCATACATACAAACTGAAAGAATAATCCACATCAAATAATTCTATTTGAAGAAAACAATTCTCAAAATATAACTCATCAGTATTCTGAATCAATCAGAAAATTTTTACAACTCATCCAATATCAGTTAACTTCAAGTATAAAGTTGATCTCTACAACAGTCCATATAAATTCAATTCTTCCCTCCCCCTTCTTAAATATTGCGACCTCGCAATATACACTGAATTATTTAATTAATATCGGCTTTTATTCAATGATTAGAATATAAATTTATTTTCCAAGTTACAACATAAAAAGTCAAAAATAATTAATTCTCATAGGTAAATTACCAATGTTTTATCAATTGAAAACGAAAGTTCGAATTTGGGGAATTTCCGCGTGAGGCTAATAATCTTAAATTGAAAAAAAAAAACAAATAATATGAAAAAGGTAAAGCCTCAAAGCGATCGATGTACTTTTAACGTGAAATAGTATGAAATAATCGCTCATTTTTATTTCAAATGCAGTGACGAGTACGTGTGACGTCACACGTATCCCTGTTTCATCTCCGTTAAAAAAATAAAAGAAATGCGACAAAAACAGATAAAAAACGAAAATAACCGTGGAAATAATCGTAAAATCCAGAGAATAAACATTAAATTCATCAATTTCCCCCCAAAAATTATCAATTTTCTAGTTTTTTTCATGTTGCAGAAACCTGTACTGGTCGGAGACCATCAACCGGACACTTTTGAAAGATTTTTTTGTACAGATTTCATAATTTTTAACAGAGAGACCAAAAAATTTGACACAGTACAGCTAGGTTCTTCTCCTAACTGACAAACTAGTTTGTTTATTTCTGATTGTATTGACAATTATATCTGAGGCTCGACAAGGAGAGTATCAAAAATTACCTAAATTGTCTACACTACAGTACCATGTGTCCGGACAGATATGTACATGTCTACATGATGTGAATTAATTCAGATAAAAGCTTGGATGTTTTGATTTTTGATTTGTGACATGATATACAATATGTCAGCAACAAATGCTGAAGCTTTGGATATTCTATCATTCACTCTGCAAATGATTAAAGCTGGTATATGAGGTCATTGCTTTCTTGACCCCCGAATTTCAACGTCAACATTCTTGAAATAGACATTAAAATATTACCATTTATGGAGGTTGAAATAAATTTATTTACTTAATTTTAAAAGAAACATGCACTTATTGTTGATAAAAAAGTGACTGTTAAAGGGGCAACATTCGCTGCCGCGGCAGCGAGTATTTGTGGGTGTGACTAATTAGTGATGTAAAACTGTCTGTTATAAACCCTGAACTATAAATAGCATGCAGTGTTAACCTGCAGAGAGAATGTAAACAAAAACAGCGGATTTTACACAGGAGAGGTTTAATACTCAAAGATTAATTAAAGACATTATCAAGTCATCTTGTCCAGATATTATTTTTGAAGTCGGTTGTTTTTCTTTTTTTTTCACTGGAATGCTTTATGTGTCATTCATCAAGTCAGAATCCAAAAGATGTGCCTTACATGGGGCATTTCTTTTAGGAACAACCTGCTAAAAATGTTCTTGACAGGAATTTAAAATACTTTTAAACTGTTAATGTATAAATTTTTTATGCATATCCAACATTTAGTTTGATTAACATTTGTGAAATGTAATTTTTGACTACAAGATATTTACAACAAAATATAGTGTAAATGAAATATACCTGGAAGTTTCTTTTACTGTTTTCATGAAGTTTAAACCATTCAAATACAAGTTAAATCAGTACTTTGAAATTAAAAAAAAATCATAGATTAATGGATTATTGTAAATTTGTTGGATTTGATAAAGCAAGTCAGTAAAAGTTATTGTTTTATTCAGCATTCCAATGTGTCGTCTCTGCTCCCTGAAATATACATCGTCTGCTACAAATCTCTCTCCCTGAAATAAACACTGCCACGTGCTTCTGTTTACTACTGAAGGTTCATGACCTGTAATGATCACATGGCTCCTCCCAGGGAAATTCAAATTTCAAATTTGACAGCCAGTATTTTTTTCCAGAAATACACTTAACAAAGTTATATTTTGAATAATTTTGGTCAATCTTTATCAAAAATATCTATGCCTACAAACATGCCAAGTGTTGTTTAAATGCATTTGGTAATTAATCTTAAATCTTTGAAAAAGGGTCCCTGAAGTGAAGCATGCATAAAATTAATATTAACTAATAAGAAACCTGCCCTAGCGCCATCTGCTGGCTTTTATAGTCCAGTTGGGCCTTTAACCACTGAACAAAGAAAATACCAAATTAAGCATTTTCGGGCTGTCCGGGTTTGGTGGTCCCCAACCAGTAGCGGGTCTCTGATGCAAGACGCTTCAAATGACGGTCTCGCACTACTATTTATACAATACAGCTCAAAATATTTGTTCCACGAATAGATAGTATAAAAAAGATATGAACTCCAATTAAAAACCAATAATGAAACATTGTTTGTCCTAAACACATTTCATTTTTGACAACTGCAATGGAAAACAGTAGTATTCATTGTTAAATGTTCATATAACTAAAAAGTAACTAATAAATAAACGTAAACTTAAAATATATTAGAGAGATACTGTAAATAACAACAATAAAAGGAGTTCAAACTATTTTTGGAACAATCAAAATCATTTGGTACCAAAGAGGCTTCAATATGATCCTTAAAGTTTGATATGGCCTGCCAAGCTGTTATTAAAACACAATAAAATTACAGATTTAGGCCATTTAACACTTAATTAGGTGTGGCACTAATGATTTGAACTGGTATGTAGAATAAAATCATCACATAGCGACCAGCCTTAACAACCAATCAAATTCCATGAGAATACGAGAAAGCACCTGCTTCACATAGAGGGTGAAGGTCAGTATATACAAGCAGAAATATCTTTAGTTTTGTTTACAGTTACGATCTTTCTTTCTTTGTATTTTGTTAATAAGGTATTTCTCTGTGTATCGGGCTAAAAATACTGTAACAGAATGTTTTATGAATAATTATTATGCAACCAAGTTTAGTCCTTAACCCCCCGAGAAAACAGAATACTGTGTTAAATATGGATCTGCCCCTGTCATTAAGGTGATTCCGCTTTGTCAGCCATGTTTGTTTTCACAAAGTCTGTCCAAAGTGAAAGTAGGCCAAAATTGATAATATGAAAAAGGCAAAGCCTCAAAGCGAGCTCGATGTACTTTAAACGTGAAACAGTATGAAATAATCGCTCATTTTATTTCAAATGCGTGACGTCACCCGTACTGTGTTAAATATGGCCCCACCCCTGTCGTTAAATGAATAACGAGTTTTGAAAACGTTGATAACACTTTGTTTGTTTATTTTATTTCACTCTATAATTTTTCAAGCAAAAAAAAGAATATTAAAAGTGAAATAATTGTAAAACTTAAAACGTGTACTTGAAACTTGAAACTTGAAAACTTGATTTAACGCCTATTTCTACATATAGGATACATATTCAATGGCGTTGTACAGCTATATACCTTATATGTGCTACTCCCAGTGCTACCATACACAATACTCCCAGCAGTGCGACGGTCACAGTGATTGGGTCAATCCCCACCAACATGTAACAATCTACACCCCTGCACCCCTGCACATGATAACACATGGGCTAGACTTTATTATATTATTATACATTGAAAATAATAAAAACACTAGAAATATACAAACATGCACAAAACAATTAGGAACAGACAATGCATTCAGCGTCACTTAAAAAAGTGCAAAAAAGTCCTTGAAGTAAAATGATTTCAGTTGTCTTGAAAATTTCAACAGATTCACATTTTCTCATATTAATAGGTAGTTCATTCCACAATTTTGGTCCTATCGTGCTAAAAGCTCTGTCAGAAAAAGTCCTCTTCTTATTAAAAGGAACAACATAACAACCAACTGAGGATTCAGATGATCTTAAGGTTCGTTTTGACACTTGATTAGACAAAAGCTCTATTAAATATGATGGTGCGTTTCCTACCGAACAGTTATACATGTATGTCAGTATCTTGAAACTGATTCGTGCTTTAATCGGAAGCCAGTGCAGATCGAATAATGCCTGTTTAGAACTATCATACTTCAGGGTTCGAATTTAAGCTGGCATACTGGCAAAATGCCAGTTAAAATCTAATAATACCAGTAAAAAATACTCTAGCTGGCATTTATTTGCAAGTGACTGTTCATTTTGGACGTTTACATAATTGTTATCTTCTGAGCTGATGATGATGCTTGGCAACTGCCCGCTGCAGAAACTGATGGTGTTTACTGTGCCAGATGCAGTAACTGATGACGTTTACCTTAAAAACTTAAAAATCAATTTTTGGTTGCTCTATTTATTTTTTCTGTGACTATATTTTGATGGACTATTTATAACAGCCAAACACTATTGGTTAGAGCATCCAAGATGTTATATCAGGGTCCAATGTAAATTTGTAGCATTCCTCTGTAAAGTGTTTACTTTTAAGCTGAAATAGTAGATCAGACAGTGCCTCTGAGTTTTCAGGCTGTTGGTGTAATCAAGTACAAAATATCTTACAATTAATGAAGGTCCTAATTAATTACATAACATGAACAAGTTTATAAATGTACATTGGCACCAGTGGGTGTTCCTCTGGTATATCTAATCTGATCCCTAAACAATTGTTTATAACATTTATAAATTAACGAGTTGAAATGTTTTTGTTTCGTTACAAGAAGACATCTGTGTTTACCAGTGAAAAAGATGTTTCTGATATTCAATAGACATTCAAACTTATTATCATTTGTCATACCAGATGTTCAAAATAGTTTTTTAAAATACGCATAATTTGTCAATGTGTATTATAAAAATCATAATAATAATAAGATACGTGATCATGGAATTGTCAGTTGACTACCTCATATTGCCAGTTAAACATTTGATCACTTGCAAAAATCTGCAAGTAGAAAATTTTGCTAAATTCTAACCCTGTACTTGGAACGACCTAACACCAGTTTGGCACACATATTTTGAATACGTTGAAGTTTGGCTAATTCATTTTGAGATATGCCGTATAGAATGATGTTGCAATAATCTAAATGGGATATTACTAAAGATAAAACAAGTGTTTCAGCGGCTTCCTTTGTCAGATACTTTCGAATGCTCTTGATCTTGAAATAGTTTAACATAGCAGTTCTACACTTTCTTTTAATGTGATCTTTGAAATTTAGAGACTCATCCAAAAAAGCACCAAGATACCGTATACAATGTTGTGATTCAATAACATTA